CTCCAGTTTATGAGATAGTACTAAGATATAGGGTGACTGCATGTTACAATAGCTCGTGATCTTCTAATGTCGGCAAAACGATTTATTGCTAAAGAATTGAAAGGATCGAGAAGAGGGGTCTAGAGGGGGGTGGGGGGGGGGGTGATTAGACCCTTCACAAGCGAAAGTGGCAGTTTTTAGATTTTTCAAGTTAAAGTAGAGTTTAGCACAAGTTTAAGCATTCACAATACATTTCAAGCAAGCATGACAAGAGTATATGCAGCGGAAAGAGTAAATCATGTAAATTGCAAGAAAGTAAAGGGATGGGATTGGAGTGTGCAAACACAATGAAGACACAGAGATTTTTGGCGTGGTTCTGATAGGTGGTGCTATCGTACATCCATGTTGATGGAGAGTTCAACCCACGAAGGGTAATGGCTGCGCGAGTCCACAGCGGGCTCCACCAACGAAGCGTCCACGAAGAAGCAACCTTGTCTATCCCACCATGACCGTCGCCCACGAAGGACTTGCCTCACTCGGGTAGATCTTCACGAAGTAGGCGATCTCCTTGCCCTTACAAACTTCTTGGTTCAACTCCACAACTTGACGGAGGCTCCCAAGTGACACATAACCAATCTAGGAGACACCACTCACCAAAAGGTAATAGATGGTGTGTTGATGATAAACTCCTTGCTCTTGTGCTTCAAATGATAGTCTCCCCAACACTCAACTCTCTCTCACAGATTTGGATATGGTGGAAAGATGATTTGAGTGGAAAGCAACTTGGGGAAGGCTAGAAATCAAGATTCTCGTTGTAGGATTGGAATATCTTGATCTCAACACATGAGTAGGTGGTTCTCTCTCAGAAAATGTATGGTGGAAGTGTAGGCACGTTCTGATGGCTCTCTCAGATATGGAGAAGGGGGTGGAGGGGTATATATATCCTCCACACAAAATCCAACCGTTACACACATTTGACCCATCTCGGTGAGACCGAATAGTTAAACTCGGTGGGGCTGATTAGTTCAAAATGTGAACATTAGGAATCTCGGTGGGACCGAATGGAACAACTCGGTGGGACCGATGTGCTAGGCCTTAATGAAAACCTCATCTCGATGGCGCTGATTGCATCAACTCAGTGAGACCAGAGTAAAGTAATAGGGCAACCGAGAATTGGTTAAGCCATCTCGGTGAGACCAATTGCAATTTCGGTGAGACCAAAATAAATGCAACTGATAACAGGGAGTTGGCAAGGCCATCTCGGTGAGACCGAGATCCGTATCGGTGTGAACGGATTGTTAGGGTTTCTGGCTGTGGCTATGTCATATGAACTCGGTGATGCCAGATAGAAAGAATCGATGGGGCCAAGTTGGAGTTTAGGGTTTTGACATATTTGGATGGAGAAAGTGCTTGAGGGTTTTGGTGCAATATCACTAAACATTTGAGCAAGTAAGCCATTAAGCAACACCTCATCCCCTTTTAATAGTATTGGCTTTCCATGGACTCAATGTGATCTTGAATCACTAAAACAAATGAAGAGTCTTGAGCTTTAGCCAATGCCTGTCCGTAGCACCTTGAAGGGGTTCTACATCCTCTTGTCCTTTCCATGCCATTGTTGAACTTGTCTGAAATACACTAGATAGAAGCATGAGTCCAACAAGAGATATGTTGACATTAATTGCCATAATCACCCAAGGAGCACTTGTGCTTTCAATCTCCCCCTTTTTTGTAATTGATGACAACATAGATCAAAGCCTTAAGTAAATGATATGAAGAGTAGCAGGTAAAGCTTTGGAGGAACATATAACATGCATGAGCTCCCCCTATATGTATGCAATCATGTGAAGATAGAATATACTAACATGTGAATGCATACCATGACAGAGTAAGTAGAGAGTTACATGTATCTTGGCTATATGCATCGGAGCAAAAGATATGGTTGAGAAACGTACCTCCATGTTTGTGAATCCCTCTTGCAAACAATATGTACAACAACAAGAGATCATCATGCACATGAGTGTGATGCATATACTTACCTTGTGGTCTTGAGCTGACTTTTGAGAGAGTGGACTTGAGAAAACAGGGTTAGATAACACAAGAACACTCCAAGTAAAGCAGTTTTGGGGAACCACAAGAATACCAAGACTGGGATGACATGTGATTGGTGAGTACTACCAGGTAAGTACTTCATTTATATATAGACATGTCCCCAAAGATTTAAAGATGTGCAATAAATTCCAAGAAGTTTTCTCCCCTTAGGCATAGACTCTTTCTCCCCCTGATTCTGATATTGGATAATGGGAGAATGTAGGGTGATATAAAATCAGAGCAAATAAGGTAAGAGCAAATAAAATTAGAGCAAAAAGAATTTTCCATAGCTAGGATCTCAAACATATTAGCATGTCTTCCCCTCTTAAAGACATGTGACTTCTCTCCTCTTTGTTGACAGGCATCTGTAGAAGAGCTTGGATGTGCTCATTTGATAAGCTGTGACGTACTATCTCCCCCTTTGACATCAATTTCCAAGAGGGTACTTGTGGAACATGAGCCAAGTAGGTGTGGTCCTTGAGAGTCACTACAAAACAGTAGGTAGCTTAGGATGCTGATAGAGGGAAGAATCACTGAGTGGAGCTGAAGAAAATAGGCAGTAAGAAATGGCAAAACATTTTCTCAGGGTTGAAATCGGTGACGCCGATACGTTTCCGCCGGTGACTCCGAGATGACAGTCAACTATATACAAGGAAACCTTGTATTTCGGTCGAGCCGATAGGTTTGGATCGGAGGGACCGATGTCGGTGTCAAAACCGGTGGATCTCGGGTAGGAGGTCCAGCATCTAAGGTTGATGGTAACAAGAGGCAGGGGACACGATGTTTACCCATGTTCGGGCCCTCTCTATGGAGGTAATACCATACTTCCTGCTTGATTGATCTTGATGAATATGAGTATTACAAGAGTTGATCTACCACGAGATCGTAATGGCTAAAACCCTAGAACTCTAGCCTGTATGATTGTGATTGCCTCTACGGACTAATCCCTCCAGTTTATATAGACACCGGAGGGGACTAGGGTTGTACAAAGTCGGTTACAGAGAAAGGAATCTACATATCCGAATGCCAAGCTTGCCATCCACACAAAGGAGAGTCCCATCCGAACACGGGAAGAAGTCTTCTGTCTTATATCTTCATAGCCCATCAGTCCGGCCCACATCACGTAGTTCGGCTGTCCGAGGACCCCTTAATCTAGGACTCCCTCAGTAGCCCCTGAACCAGGCTTCAATAACGAGGTGTCCGACACACGAATTGTCTTCAGCAGTGCAAGGCGGGTTCCTTCTCTGAATACTCCAAAATAGTCTTTGAACACAAGGATCGTGTCCGGCTCTGCAAAACAAATTCCACACACAACCGCAGAGAGTATTACATTTTACGAGTCCAATCCGCTGACAACTTTTAGTAGCGTGA